ATCGCGATACCAAAGAACAATTGCCATGAGATGATATTCAAACATATGTATTCATCTGTATCTATATCCATAAATATTTATCAAATTGAAAGTATTTTAAATTTGATGGCCGGCTTTTCTGTTGTTTTTTTTTTATTATTATTCGAATCTATGACGATTTTCTTTCATCTACTTGAGATAAATTTGCTTTTAAGACGTTATGTTAGTCTTACCGAAAAAACAAAGCAAAAACAAACTTATTCATTGTAACAGTGTTTACAAATTTATTGCACACTATGACGAGATATTTCTCGGATGGAGGCAGTTTATGATTTGAATTTTCTCCCTCACAAAGAGAGACAATATTTCAGATTTTTTTTCTTCTGAACCTCTGACATTTGGTAATAAAATATGTAAATCGAATGAAAAGTAAATTTTGTTTCTTTCTAAACGATGCCAAACTAATTTAAACTATCGGCTTTCCAAAGTTATATTTAAGAATATAAAACATTTGCTCTTTAATTGAATGTACTGACCTTTGACCATGGAATATCTGCAGACCATCGAATGAACAAATCAAGATATTAATCTTTAATAAATATTAGCGTTTTCTTGGCGTTATTTCACGACAGACGAAAAAAAAAAAGACAAAAAGAGAAACGTCTCGTAGTTGACAACAATTCAAATAAATTATCCTGTAATGCTGAAAACACTATGACGTTGTGAGGCCTGTATTTGACATTAGTTGTACAGATCGTTAATAGTGACATTCGGTCTGTTTGAGAGAGATTGATGATAGACCAAAAATGGTCGTTAAATATAATTTCTGTTGCCGACGACCGGGCGCAGCTTTTGATTTCATCTGGGCTGATGTTCATATATTTGCGATTTCAACGCTTTGCTGGAGTAACTTTAAACTATTTCCGTCGGTGAGCAGACTTAAAAGAGCCAAAGCGAACAAAATACAGTGATTATGAACTGTATTTTGGTATGTTCTTTCAAAAAGATTTATTTTTCCCAAAGAATTGATTACAGTGCCATTCACTGTTTGTTAATGCATTTATAGAAGTCAGTAGTTTGCACTGTACAAACAGTAAAGAAATGACGTCAATTTCAAATTATTTGGGCTTTAATTACCAATCGGACAAAAAGAGTTTAAAGGGAATCTTGAAACGGTTCAAAGGCTTCCTTGCATGCATCCACATACATAAAGATAAGTAGAATATATTCTTAGATATGACACACTCTCAAAAGCATATATACACACCCATTAATAGACGTACTAAATCACACACACGTACAGATAAACACTATCGCGGCTACGTTAACACGATTGACAAGCATAAATGTGCATATGCCTCAGTACATACAGACACACGTATATTTTCTTCATGTTCATAATTATCCGGTTCAAATTTTGGACAACACAGAATGGCTCACACGACTGCAAGCGATGAGCTCAAAGGGATTTTTTTAAAAGGGTTAATAATATTCTGGAAGAATAAGACTAAAGAGATCAAGCGAGGAAGTGGTACGCAAGTCTTTCTTAAATTAACCCAATTCTATGTTTCAAAAATCGACACTGAATGAAAGCTGATTTCAACTGCATGTACGCTAAAGAACTCGCAAAATGTAAGTTTAATATCTGTTTAGAGCTTGCCGATAATGGCTCTCACAACGTCTCATCCTTTGTATCTCTTGGAAATGTTTATCTTTTTTACTATCCAAACCACTATTCTGTTTCAATTAACATAAGTTCTTTAGGTTTCTAGGAGAATTGTGTACTGGACATTTGCGTCCCGGACAATTGCGTACCAGACAATTGTATCTCTGGACATTTGTGTTCCTAAACAAATGCATCCATGGATAATTGCGTATCTCTGATATTGTTTTGAAGCTTTTAAAAGCAGTTAACATAAAAAAAATATGTATGCTATGAATAATCAAGAGTGATCTCCCCTTGTTTTGTTACTCTCCTCTTTGAGAGAGCTATTTCTGTTTACTGGGACTATAAAAGGACACTATACGCAAACATTTTTCAGTTGAATAAAGCTTTCTTAAAGCCTAAACCTGCGTAGTTTTGTCATTACAATGTAATAATCATATATTTTTAAAAAAGCAGGAATAAAAGAAAAGATAGAAATGTTTATTTTTGTTTAAAATGCAATTGCAGATTATCAGTGTTGCAAGATCGCTTGTATGTTTTTTTTTAATCAGCGTTTCTCTTATGATAGTGCTAACTGTAATTTTCCTCGTTCACAAATATTTTTCTCCCAATTTTTGATTTTCGGAACTTAGACATGGGTTCCAAACAAAAATATAATCTATAATATCCAGAATCTATTAAATGTTTTTGGTAAGCACTGCTGGAGTGAGTTGAAACAGCTAGCTTAATTTTCTCTTGTTTTAAAAAATAGTAAATTTTCTCACTCATTTTATTTATACTATCTTTCTGCTTGTTTAGAGTAATTAAAATTTCTATATTAAACAACTCTTTAACAAAATGTTATCTTTATACATGTTTAGAATAATTAAAAATTGGTTTGCAATTAGCAACTCTTAAGAAAAGAAAGTAAGGTAACTTAAAAAAAAAATCAGAGGTACGCAATTATCCATTTGTGTTAGGACGCATATGTCCAAGTATGCAATTGTCCGGGACGCAAATATCCAGTACTCGACTGTTCGGTCACCGTTCATTAGATTGTTTAATCACTGTTTCTCGTACTAGCTTCAATATGGTCGGTGAGTGTTGAATTTTCCAAATCTTTTTTCTTCATTATGCGTTCCAAAAATGTCTTTTACTGATTTTAAGTATAAGTAACATTTTCTTTTCCATTTTCCTTAAAACTTTCTGGTTTCTCGCATGTTCCGTCCGTGGTATTCTAGGAATTCTTTCCCTATAAAATACCGTTATTCAGACTGAATTCTACAGTCCGATTCGCATGAGATATTCTTATAGTCCGGTTCCTTGTACCACGTTGATAGTCCAAGGAAGAACCAATAAAGAAGAACTCGAACACGTATATGGAATAACACAGATATATTACAAACAGGAAAATATATAGAGAAATAGAAAATGTTAGTACGAACAATCAGGTTTAGTAGTACTTGCCTGAATGCGACTCTGTTTCGGACTGCCTCTGACTCGACTGACTGACTCGCTCGCTCTGACTGACTGACAGACTCCTGACGGACCTCACTTCAGACTTCAGACTGAATTCCCCGCTTCCTCTTGAGGTATTTAGTACGTATGGAATAGTCCATTATGTTATTATGGGTAAGGTCCCATAACAGATATTAAAAGTTATTTATTTATATGTGGATTAATGTCATCATCTTTGTTGTTGTTATCTCAAAGTTTGGGCCGTTACACTCTCCGGCCTTCATCAGGTGCAAATCGATCCGAATAAACTACAGGAAATTCCGAACTGCACAGTTTATTTAATCTATAAGGTTATACTGTTCTCGTTCCACTGCCTATTTCTAGAAATATCTACATCTAATTCTTATTTTTAGTACTGTTCCGTTGTTGCTCGCCTTGTTTCGATTGATTTCCTGTACACACTGCTCAGCCCAGAGATTTCATTCCCAAAATGCTGTCAGCAAGTTCATGAATCGAGGCTTTACTCCACTAGGCTATAGTCCCGAGTGGCAATTTTCTATAAATAAATAGTTTAGTTCGTAAATCCCTGTAGAGCACAACGTCCAAAACGTTGTGACAACAACGAAGATGAGGACAATAGCCCGAATGTAAAGAGCGTAAATAATGATAAACCTTCAAGCCAAAAATTCAGGCAAAAATTAGAAGTTATCTGCACATTTTTATTATCTTTCTTTTCGTAGTTTTTTCAGTATTACGTCTAAAAATAAGTTTTTGATGGGTATAGATTTTTCCAAGGGCTTTAGTTTTAAAGACTAAGTTGGAATTTGAACTCGAATCCCTTGATTCAATTTTCCGCACAGATAAGCGTTCTCCTAACAGCACTGGATAATACAGAATGCAAAAAAACATTAGGCCGAAAATAAAAGACTTTACCTTTATAGATTTGCGCATCTCTCAACCGGGCTTTCCAAAGGCAAAGATTTCACTCACCTACAAGAAAAACGAAAGAAAATTTAATACGACAAACAACCTCAAATTTTAGGAAAAAACATATTTACAATATATACTCGCGTATCATGTCTTTTGAAGACATAATTTTGAAGTCAATTTTAACGGGGTCGCATTACACACACGATATGAAATTAGCATATTTATACCTGGCTCTGGCTACGCCGTTGATCAAACTATATATCCATTTACTGTAGTTAAAATTAAAGCTGTATTTAAAATAAAAATGATTTTGATAAAAATGACATTTTACTTAACTGTATCCAATAATAATGCATGTAATATTCAAATATTCGTATCGTATTATAAAATACAAACATAGCGAGTCCATTGTTTACGTTTATAAGATGTTTAGTTGATTCTCGTTCGGTTGTTTGTGGCTGTACGCGTTTACGCAACGAGTATAGCGTTACTAACGGTGCTTCTATTATTTTCGTTTAATCTTTTGACTTATTTAACTAGACGATGAGATAAAGAGATAGAGGAAAAGAGGTTAGTCTATTGTAATTTGGTCTCTCGAAAAAGGAACTCGCATGATAAAATCTTTTTTTATAAGTGAAAATACGACAAAAAACCTCTTTACAAAAATACGTCAATAAAACCTGATCTACAAACTGATTTCTTACAAAGTAGACATATTCTTTTCATACGAACCTATCTTAAAAAATCTTGTTGGCATTAAATAACCCATTAAGGGGTTGATATACCGTAAAACAGAATAAACCAAACCGAACAATTTTATAACAGCAGCCAAATAGTTATAACGAACAAAATTAAACAGAAAAGAAGCGATTCACCGAAAACTGACTTAATATAATCGGTATTTGCAGGAAAGTCTGTTGCTCTTCAACTGACACACGTTTTACATTATCTCATTCAACAAAAGAAAACTTTGTTTCCCCAACTCGATATGTACCGACATTTCGAGAGTTTTAACACTTCTTTCTTTTCGACTGTCTTTCATGTTTCCTTTCTGTTGAATATATTTAATCAAAAAGTGATTGGCCGTTTGCTGTTTATACCCGTTCAAATCAGACAGAATACAGTCACGTCCGTGAGTGTGTAAGTCCGAGTGTCTATCAGTTTCGCTAACTGAAGTTAGCACTTATATCCGGCACAGACACGTGAATCAATGCTAGTCGCAAAGAATAAGAACTAAGGATAAATTGGAGAGAAGAGAGGACGACCCGACTGGCACAAGCGATTCGAGAGAGCCGACTAAAAGAGGAAATTATAAAACGCAGCACGTGACCGGAAGTAATATAATCGATGATAAATGATAACGGGGAAGGGTAGAACAAAGTTATAGCAAACAGAATTGGTCATTTAATAGATGAAGTATTTCTAGTTTCTTAATCGAAAAGGACCATATCAGGTTGAAACATCGGTTCCCGCAAGATTGCCGAAGTTAACCAATGTTCAGCCTCTTTAATCCCTAAATGGGTGACCGATTGAGAATACCGGGTGCTGTAAGCTTAGATCTGTAGTTGGGGTAATCGATAATCACTCACAATTGTTGAAAGGAGAGGCGAGTTAAATTGCTCTTGGATTCGTTATGTTCATTTACACGCAAATGACCTTGGGAAAGGCATGAATGTATCTTTCCCCCCCTAGGTATGAGTTAATTCTAAGGCTTGTATCACTAAATCATAATTATGTTCCCATCAAAAAATATTACGTTCTAAAAATATTTTTTGGCTTTATCTATTTGGAAACAGAGCCTCATTTGGAGTTTCGGCATCAAAATGGAGGTCTTTTCACATGTCCTCATTTAGAACACAAAACAATCGATATAAAATGACAGAACACAGCAAACTATCATAGAAGCAGGTGGCGAAACGCCGAAATGTACTTGTAATATGAGAAGTAATTTGATTGGCTGGTACCAAGACCATGTAGTTCATCACGAGGCTTGTATTATTGAGCCGACGGATCGGCCTTGTCTTCTTTTTCGTCATTCAACCATTAGGTCGATATATCGGCCTCGTCGTCTCCTAAGGGTTACATAACTGAAAAGGGTTTATAAGCCATATAAAACGAACCTTTTCAAGCAAAAAAAGGAAAGGTGGTCGTGCATGTACTGGAGAGGAATGTGGCGTGTCGGTTTCAAATTCCAGCCGAGACCATTATATTCCCTTGCGCAGAAATATCATTGCATAAGGTCTGAATCTATATCTTAAATCCGTCAACTCATACTTGGGATAAATATCAAGTTAGACTGGTCTTTTTAGCTTTGCTTGGAAAATGGTCTAAACGAAGGACAACAGAACAGACAATTGGTATAGTAGCCCAGATTAAGATCCTGTCAGAATAAATCCACGTATAAATGCCTAATGCCTAAAAAGTCGCTGTTTTAGTAAAATGAAGTCTAGGGTACAATTTAGACAAGGTGCCCAGATTGACTTGTATCTACAACAGTTTGCAAACTGCATTAATGTCCAGGAGATTTTTGAATTTTTTCATTATGTTAATTCGTCAGTACATTACTGTAGAAACATTGAGAAATAAATTAGAAATATTATAAGATGTTATTAAAATGTATGACCATGAGAAATCTATTATCTATGTACCTATGCTTGATGCATCTTATTAATATTCTGTTTTCGTAACCTGTTAACAATCGCTATACCAGCTTCAATTGTCTTCTTGCTAGACAATCCATTTCATTTCTTACTTTTTACACTTTTACATTTTCACAATCGTTTGTTACCACTTTTTGTAACATTTTATAAATTTCCTTTTTTACTATTCTCACTTTTATTATTCAATATTTTCGCAAAAGCCATCACTCTGCTTCCGTCCTTCACAGATCTTACAATATCAAGTTTCGTCTAGAGCATTTAACTTTCTTACGAGAGATGGCAATATATCTGAGATTAAAAAAAAATATGTCAGTGAATTCTGCCATAATCCTTGCCTTCAGTTCATCTTTTGTGTTACAATGAGATTTGGTGGTCTCTCGCTCAACTAAGTTCACACATAATTATCAAAGGGGATTATAATCTGGGGAGTTAGGTGGACAGATGTAAGGATGATGTTGTCGCAGAAATTGTCTGACAGCCAGTATGCTTGTATGACATGGTGCAGTGTCCTGTTGCCATATATAGGTTCTTCCAGCATGTACTCTCTTGCACTACCTCCTCAAAGTATTTGATGTGTTGAGTCTAATGCGCTTCGTAATCAATATTACACTCATCCAATTCCTTCCGAAACCTCTGCACTGTCCCCAGATAGACATGATAACACTCTTTATACCTCGATATAGGAAGTAGGCTATCCCTACTCCTTTGCTATGATAGGGATAGCCTACTTCCTAGATCGAGGTATTAACTAGCTTTGTCTAAATTGTACCCTAGATCTTCATCTACTAAAGCTAAACTAACTCTTAAGAAACAAGAAAATTTCGTTAGAAACAAAGAGTACTGAAATTTTAATGTAATATCAACCCCACCATCTATATGATAGTAAATTCCGGACCATCACTACACAGATGAAGATTAAAAATGAGGCGATAGAAATATGTTACTACAGAAGGATACTGAGAATACTATGGAACGAACATGCGAGAAACGTTGAAGTTTTCGAGAAAATGGAAACAAATCGGACGCGTATACTTAAACTCAGAAAGAATTGAACTTTCTAGGGCATATAGGAAAGGGGGCTTGGAAAATTTGAAACTCACAAGATATATTGAAAGGAAAAAAAAGGATAGAGGAAAACTACCCATAACACACTTAACGAGCTTGTATAAATGGATGACAGGACAGGTGTAGGATTGATGACAAAAGACAAAAGGACAGGGAATTGTGGAGAGCCACGATCGACAACGTTCTAAAGGGAAACGGCACATAGAAGAAGAAAAAACAAGAACAACAAATGCTTTGTTTTCAATGAAACCAGAATATTTAGTAATGGTTGGTACCTACAATTACATATATATCCAATCATTTTGATCAAAAAAGAACCAAAAAATGTCAATATATATATATATATATATATATATATATATATATATATATATATATATATATATGTTGTGGTAGGATCCACCTAATTTGCATAGTGGAGTACCGACCATATAAATATTTTTTGTACCGGGAAGACGAGGGAGGAATCAAGAGATTCAATCCAGAGACTCTGCCCGACTGCGGCTAAGTCAACACATTCTCCAGGAACGGTCTTCCCAAGAATATACAAAAGGCTATAAGTAAATATTGTGTACCTTTCTTGTTTCAATACATTTTGTTCTAAGTACATTTTTGTGTTTGTATTATTATTCCATGCATTAGTCAAGTTTCAACATATATATATATATATATATATATATATATATATATATATATATATATATATATAATTTTTTTAATATATACTAGGGGGCCCCAAAAGTAACCAGTATCGTTTTCCGTGTGACAAGTCCGTAGTAGTTCAGGCTTCCACCGCTAGATGCCACTTGAGGCAACCCTCAGGCATCAGTGTGCTAACTGGTGTTATCGTCGGAAGACGTACAGCTCCGTGGTTCACATTTTTTTTTTGAAGTGCTTCACGCCTTTTCGTCTATTTTAAACCATAGCTGAAAGGATGCCTATCTTAAACTGAAAGAACAGTTGGATGTTAATCCAAACCTTTTTTCGAAAGGTCATCACAGGTGATTAAAGCTGCTGCTATGGCAACGACCCGGAAACGAAGTAGTAATCAAGTCAGTGGAAGCAGCCAACGTCACCACGACTCCAAAAAGCGCGCCAAGTGAAGTCCAATGTCAAGACGATGTTGATTTGTTTCTCTGATGTGAAAGGAATTTTCCACAATGAATTTGTTCCTCCTGAATAAACTGTTAACCAGGTTTTTTTATTTGGAAGTCCGGAAGCGTTTGGCCAGACAAGGTGAGACGAAAACGCCCTGACCTGTGGCAAAGTGGAGGGTGGTGGTTGCATCACGACAATGCGCCAGCGCACACCGCCTTGAGTGTGAGACAGATTCTGACCAAGAATGGCATGATTCCACATCCCCACCTTCCCTATTCACCCGATTTCGCTCCCTGGGATTTTTCTTTTGTTCCTCTGAATGAAGAAAGTCCTCGTATTATTTATATATTATATATGCGCGGTACTTACTTAAAAGCGATCAATATCAGTAATAGAACTATTGTGTATGATACACCTAATTTACATAAGCGGACTACCGACCATATAAATATGGGTTGGTACCGGAAGACGGGGAAGATAGTAGAGATTAAGAAATTGAATCGAGAGACTCTGCCCGACTGCGATTTAGTCAACCCATTATGCAGGAACAGTCTTCCCAAGAATATACCAAACTAACTGTAAATATTGTGTACCTATTCTTTGTTTCAATACATTTTGTTAACGTACATTTTGTGTTGTATTATTCCATGCTTATTTAAGCTTCAACAAGAACTAACATATTTAGTTGGATTGATGTGATATTGTGATCCTTCGTTTCACGCTATATGCGATCGTCTGACGATCGAAAATAGCGTGAAACACAGGGTGACAAAATTAGCTGATTATCCGATTCCGCTACCTTGGTTTCGATCTTTCGGTATCTTCAGGCGATTTCGATCAATCGATTTACTAACTTATTTGTTTTAAAAACAAAAACAAACTAATGAACACTATATTTCCAAACGAAAGTACTTAAGTTCTTCAGCTCTATTTGATTGGTTCGCTGAACAAACCCCGTGAAGGGACCTTAGTGGTCGAAACCGCGGTGGTGTTCTGGTCAGCATCTTTTTTAAAATATTAAACATTGGTATTGAGCACTTTTCTTGCATACGATCTTAATAAATATTTTACTGCTTGTTTACATACACACATACAGACACACACACACACACACACACACACACACACACATATATATATATATATATATATATATATAAAAATCGTCAGGCCACATATGCTCTAGAGCATATGTGGCCCTGACGATTGGATATAGTATGAAACAGACTGTCGCCTCTAAGTGTTGACTTCTATGTTCACTTTTATATTTACACACGCTCTATCTCTGATATTGAGCACTTTATCCCATAAATATATCACACCTTAAGACTATATTTCTTTATATATATATATATATATATATATATATATATATAAAGAGCAATCGATGAATTGTCGTGTAAATTAAGCAAAAATGAAAATAACACTGATATCTCATTTAAACAGATATATTTAACAAAATTACGCAAAAATCATGAAGTACTAAAGACTACATTTATTCAATAAAATCGCTATTAGCTTCAGCCACGCCCTCCAGACGACTTCGATGTCTCGTGCATCCTTTCTGGACGATCTCCTTTTTGGTGAATGCTGACATGATTCTTGCCTTCAGTTCATCTTTTGTGTAACAAGGTATTAAGGCATTAAATGTAGGCCTCGGTGTTGAGTCTGATGCTCTCATTAATAAATCCGGGATTTTTTCTCTCATCAGAACGATCAGAGTGAGTTTTCCGAGGTTCTGTAACATTCGAAATCACCATTAGACTCATCCAACACTTTCGGAATCATCTTCACCTTCCTCAGATTGACACCCAATCACTCTGAAATGTACGGCGCATATACCATGCAGTACAGCATGCCGTTTCCAAATTTCTGGTGGAGTGAATTACGTCATGGTCCCCTTTTTCTCAAGTGCATTTAAATGTGTGTGTGTGTGTGTGTGTGTGTGTGTGTGTGTGTGAATTACTAAAATGAAAACCAAACTACCCCATTTCGATGGCCATTTCGTCACCGGGATATGAATTCTAAAACCTTAGAATTGTTTTGGGGTAATTTGGCTTTCGTTTTTGTAATTTACTTATATGCTCAATAATAAATATATTCAGATCTCTTTTGTGGCTTAGTTTTAATATTTTACGTTAATAGGATCGACTTGAATTACTTACCTACGGATTTTTACTTGTATCTTCTG